TTTGATGAAAACTCTCCAAATATTTCAAATCTAAGTCTTATTAATTTAGGATAAAATACGAGGTGGTACCATTTATATTACTAGGTATGAATATAGCTAGACATTCACTGGCAAACATGATGGACAACAAAAAGGTACGGGAGAGTAAACAGCCACGAGCCTAACAAACCATGCATGATGTCCCTAATCTCGGCCAGTAAAGTTTGCCGTTAACTGTCAAAATTCTTTTGGCATTTAAAAAAATGGTATTTTAAAAAGATTAAAGAAAGTAGTTAAAAACTGATTCTGATTCTGCAACATAACATTATACTCAAGCAAAATATTTTTATTATTTTTCAAAGCAACCGCCATTTTGAATCTTAATCCGCCATTTTTCCTAGCACTGGTAATTAATTAGCTGCTTAATTTTTGCACTTTTTATGTCACCTGTCTTTCGTACAATATTATTTAGCATAATTTAATCTACTTAATTCATTAACTATTAAGTTTAGCAAATTTTTAAATAGTAAAAATATAATGTCAAAGGCAATAAAATAGCTGACTTTTACATTTATTTGTTAAGAATAAGTACTACAAAAATCTTATTGTGTGAAGCAGAAATCTAAAAAACCTGACGGTTTCCGTCTAGATCTGGAAATGTTGCCATCGTTTGACAACAAAGTTATAGTAGACACTGCTTTTGAATTCACACAAAAAGACCTTTGACATATAAGGCGTCAAGATAAAAGAATACATATTTTAAGTTTTGTCCCAGAAATATCATTGTTAAAGAAAATATTGTACATAGAATGAAGGCCAATTAGAAGTTTTACAATTAATTATTTTTTAATGACTTTGAACTTGAGATCTTTGTACGGTTCAATTTAATTCGATTTACAACAAAAGTGTTGTTTAAATAGATTTTGTTTTACTTATAATTGTAAATTAACATCCACAATATTTAAAATAAGGCTTGCAATTTTTGGACGTTGTCAAAAGGTAGCATTCGGTATTAATTCTGCAGAACACTTCCATAAAACTAAAATAATTTGATAGGCCATATTGAGGACACTCTAGTATCATCACACCCCAGTCCGATTGTTCAGTAAAGTAACTTGAACAAATCTCGGTGTTTTAATAGCGAAAGGGTATCGAAATGTTTAGGATTTTTATCTGAAAGTCAGATTGCGCTTCGAGAAGGACGGTTATATTCCTGATTCACCGTTTTTCCGAGATTATAGTAATACCTATGGACCATAAAGTTTAAATATAATATCAAACTTCTCCATTTTAGAATTTAAAGAGACGAGAGTTATAAAAGTGCTAAACAAAATGTATACCATTACATCGTACCTCCGTATACAATATACAGGCACTATGAACCATCGTAAAATATTTTAAAAACATAATAAAGGTAATGCGTAATATCAAAATTTGTTCTAATATGAATTATGAATTTCAAAAGTAAGGCAATTCTTGTAACAAGGCACTCTTATATAGAATACATACTTTAGACTTGTGGACATAACAGCAAACTTATATTATTTAATATTCTATTGTATATACGTAATAATTTTTATGTGCGGATCTGTAATACTATTTTGTTTATTAGCTCCCATGTTTCCAGAATACGTAACGATACTCAACTAAGCACCATTGCAACAGAAGGAGCAGTACACAGTATGACAAACAAGTCGTAATACAAAAAGTCCCCACTTTTTGTAATGCTTTTCGTTAATGAAATTTGTTAAGTTTGTTGACTGTACTATAAAAAGATAGACGCATCTAGTGTTAGATCGGAAATTATTGTGCTTTTATGTTGTGGGTCACAAGCAATTCCATTCAATCATAGATGATACTAGAGTAACTAAATTTAAATTTTCTATGTAAAAAGAAATTATTAACCCATATTATGAATCATAATAATTAGATGTCCAAATAGTAGTTTCGTATATTTAACAATAATAAACATTTAATCTGTAATCTGGATAAAACTTGGAACAATTCACATTTCGCAATATATATTTTTGCTTAATTTCGTTTTATACAATAATTTAACAAAAAAACTACGTTTAAACAAACAGGATCAAAAAAATTTTTTGTGCCGCCATTTTGTCGTGTCACTGACGTTATTCGTGTATCGTTTCTGGAACTTGAGTTCTTATCTCCGCGGTGCGTTTTTCGAATTATTGTGTTGTTGTTAAAGTTTTTATTTGTTTACACACTTTGTCAATGATATTTCCTTGTTTACATTCTGAACATCTAGATAACTAGATGGTTCATACTATATTATCTTCATTTTGATGTAAAAATGCATTCTTCACAGTTTTTGTACTAACACCAAACTATACGGGTGTATGCAAAGTATAACAGATCCGCACATAGACAATTTTCTTCATTAAGTTATTTAATGACACATTTTATAACAGGACGGTACGAGATCGGTATAGGCACATGTTCAGGCCAAATGTATAATTAGCAACCTTTTTAATTTTATTATATTTTTTGTTTCTTCTTCTTTCGTCTTTTTCCCTTTTACTTGACACTTTTGATGTCAAATTATAGTAATTTTTGCGTAATAAGGTTGGGACTTGTTTAGAGGAACTATAGCATTGTTATTTTATATTTACTTAATTCTGAGATCAATTTAACTTTGATGTCCCTTTTTAATTAAAAAAAATAATCTTTAGGATGATTATTTTGATTTTCGTCAAAAGTTTTAAGGCCGTGAAGTCCAAAGGACTTATCCTGTATTTTCAATTACTTTTTTTCTTATATTTGTGCGATCGCGATGACTCCAGAGCCGTTAAAACTTCTATTTTCAAATGAATGCACAATTTGTACAAATAGAATACACTTCTACAAGTGAACATAACTTGTCAATGGCACAATTTTATCTTTTACTCATAATGGTACCAAATGACGTTTTACTATAAACTAA